TTGACCCAGCCGACGGCTTCTGTTCCTTTTCGAGCTAGGTAACCAATTACCTTCATGTGGACGGCTTTTCCGCTGTTTCCAGTTTCCTTAGTGCTCACAGCATAACCAGGGTCACAGAGTGAAGTTGACTCAATGACAAGGTTTAATTCTGGCTAAGAACGATTCCAGAAAGCAGATAAAACAAAAGCAAAAAGTAAAAAATAAAATTAACATGTAAATAACAGGGTGAGAACATAGAATTATCTGCAAATGTGTTAAAAAATCAGGCGGCCTCAAGGGCTTTTTTTTCTGGATTGCTTTTGAAAACACTGTTCGGTCAGTCAGTCGAGCAGTCAGTCAGCCAGTCAGTTGATGGTGACTTCTAGTAGATTCACATGAGAAGAGCAGGCGTGAATGGCACTCGGCAGAGAAATTAAGATCTCAAAGGTGTACACAGCTGGCTCTAGTGAATTTGTGAAAAGAAAAACTCCAAAAAAAAACATACCTCCCGGGACATACCTTATGCTCTCCAGAAATGTATACAGGGATACGTATCCATAATGAGCCTGGGTTAAAAAATTCAGATCTGTTTGCACAATGTTAAATTCCTTTTCCAGTTAGGCTATGTGTGTTTTGTACTCTCAAGACATTAATTATTCCACTCTTGAAGAACAGCATAGTTAGTTATTTGTAACAAGAAAGACACATGTAACGAAAAGTTCATTGCCATACCAAAATTGACATCCAAAAACATTCTGATCTAAACCTGAAAAATGTTGTTTCTTACATGAAATTAAAAAGGAACTTAATTTTTTAGTTCAACTAATTCATTGATCATAGCAAAACATTGACACTTATTGTTGTTGTGATAAAATATGCAGATAAGGCATTGATTTGTTTTGAGCATGCACACCTGTACATGTTTTTGTCCACAGATCTAAGAGTGGCTTTAGAATGTCTTCCGTTATTGAAATCTTCAAAGTGCACCTGCATTTTGAAAACATTTCCTATACGAATTATTCATCTTTTGTGGGTGTAAGTTCAACTGCTGGCTGTCCTTTTCTATATGATGGTCTATTTATTATTTTACAATGCACCAAACTGCTTTGTTTGCAAAGGGAAATGCAGTGACAAAGTACATAATGTCATAAAGCAGTCACATTCATATTCAGGCCAATACTTTAGCAGTTAAGTTGTGTTTTCTCTGAAAGTAGGTCATGTGGTTATCAGCCATGCTTTAATATTAGTCACATAATATATATATTTATATATATATATATTAGGTAGAAACACAAAGTATAAATACCTGTAAAATAATAAACTCACATGAACTACTAAATGTATTCTACATAAAAGGTGGGCTCCTTGTAGGTACCACCTTTTTGAGATCACATGAATAAATGAAAATAGCTTAATCTCACAGTAGTGCCCCTATTACTAAACGTTTTTAATTTGAATAGTGATTTAGGATTAAAAAAAAGGGGCTTAGAAAAAACAATTGGTAAAATATGCATATACATGTGCATATATCAATAGGTGGTCTCAGACTATCAAAAGAGCAAAATAGAGCAGCAAAATACACACAAAACAAACTTGATGCACATTTAATTCACACATTTTGAAAGAATTGTAATTTGAAACTGCAAGAATGTTAACTAATCAGTTTGTTTTAAAAAGACAGCTTTAGAAAGCGTGGGGGGTCTGAGACACTGGGGGATGGGGCAAGATTACAGGTTTTAGGAGTGGCCCTCAGGAATGCCTCGAGACTGTCAGTGGAACATAAAACAGATTCTTTAGTCAAAGTGACTTACGATTGAGAATAATGAAGTAATTAATGCATTAATAGAATAGGAATATACAGACAATAGTATTTTGCAGTATACACCGTCAAGGACAAAAATTTTCATACATACCCCTAGGGCAATGAATTTCATTTGTTAATCTTAGACTTCTGTTGTGTTATAAAGCATTGGGGCAACAATTTTAGTCTTGGCAGGGTAGAGTATGAGAACACAATAATAATTGACTGGTGGCTTTGTTGAATGTACACATTTGTGCTACACCATGGTAATGTGTGATATAGATGTTTCTACAATTCATAGCTGTTGTTTTGATTTTTATAATTGACTTTCTCTAATACCTCTAGTAGTGTAGGTAGTGACGCCTGCAGCCGTATGGCTGTACGCACTGTGCGCAAGAACGCAAGTTAGTTCTCCGTGTTCTTGGAATTGAGAAACAGCCTGTGTTTGGGCATCCCTGACCTAAACAGTCCCTGGGTCAATGCGTGTAAAGATATTGAACATTTTCTTGAACACTTAATGCATCCAAACTGTTTGCTGCAATGTAAAGTGCACATGTCTTGAAGTAGTTCATTATGATGCAGTTTATCTATGTGTGATTTGATTGGACAGGAATTACAGGACTGATTCTTTTATTCCCATAAACAAGAAAAAATAAAGTAGTAACTGCAGATTGAAGGAAAGTAGTGAGAGTAAAAGTACAGATACTGCACTAAAATTGTACTCAAGTGAGAGTAAAAGTACACATTTTTAAAACTACTCAGTAAATTACAATTCCTGAGAAAATTTATTTAATTACAGGAATTTGAGTATTTGTAATTAGTTACTTTACCCCACTGGTGACGGCTGACATCACAGCACGCTGCAACGCATCCTTCAGGTGGTCTAGCTGGCATTAAATCACAAAGCCATCTGGGATTTGAATTGGTGCAATTATTTCCTCGTTGTACAAAGAGTCTGCAGTTTCGTGTTTTATAGATATAGCAATGTAGTGGATTGTGGACATCGATGATGTTAGGCTTGACTTTATTCGATGCGCAGCAGAAAAAAAGTCTTTCAGCATGTAGTCATGGGTAAACTTCTCACCCGGATCAGAGCGAGTTTTTGGGCTACCAAATGCAGCGCTGCATGCATTAAACTCATGCTTAGTCAGGCAAAATAAAAGCCTCATTGCTGCTAACCACAAATAAAACAATAGGGTATTTTATTAGTTCAAGATTTTACACGATGGGTTAGTAATTATATTATACATGGTTAATTATATTCAATCCACTGAAATAAAACCTTAATAAAATATGTTTGTAAGAATGTGGTGGGCCAGTGATTTCCTTCTCTGCCAGAGACTGCTCTATGATTTTAAAATCCTTTTCAATCTGTATCATATACCTACATCATTTTTATATTAAATGTAGCGTAGTTTACTTGTGAATGTCTGATGACTAGCGCACTTCTGCTGAGCGCTACAGAGCCATGACGTCAACACACAGAATCTGTTGGCACAGTTCGGCATGGTTAGACAAACGTGCTGGGTTCCAGGTCGAGAAAGGTTTCTATTCGTGCCACGTTGTTCCAGGCTCAGTGGAGAAACAACTGTACCGAAGTGATTTTTAGAACGGTTTGGCACGATAGTGTTTCCAGACATAATTGGAGAAGTGGGTGTGGTGGGCTGTGGCGGGGCGGGGCGATGCTGAATTTGTGCATACCTTGGGATAAAATCCTGCAGGCGCCCCTGATTGTAGGTCACATTCCTAAATTCAAATGATATTATATATTTTGGATTTAAAAAAAAGAGGGATGTTTTTTTTAAATATTTTTGTTCTTTGTCTTAACAATAAATCACAATAATACCAAACTTCCAATCATTGTAATGCATATAATATTACATGTGCATGTGTTAGGTATAAGATTTTATACACCTTTACAATATACCAATAAATATATATATATATATATATATATATATATATATATATATATATATATATATATATATATATATATATATATATATATATATATATTAAACTTCAATATTTGAATCTTTAATTAAGTGGAAATCAATCAATTGATCAATCAATTTTTAAACAATGTTTGTTATGTGCTAAACTCTCCTGTTTTGTAGTACAGTTTGTGCTACTGATGTAACTGAAATTATTAAATTTACAGTCCATGGTTTACAAGATAATCAAGAAGAAAGTGTCTGAAAGTCGGAGCAGGTTTTCAGTTGATTGTGACTTCAGCTAAAAACCTGCTTCTAAGGTTTTGGAGGTGAGCTGAACTTTTGGCCGAGAGCTGTGACACTGTGTTTTGAAAATGTGGCTTCAGTTCTGTATGTTAGTGTTTAAAAAAAAACTATAAACAAACAAACAAACAAATAAAAAACAAACAAATTACCCCTACAAAATTTGATTTAATAGGACAGGTGTTTGTATTATTTAATTAAGTGCATTTCCCTGTTATTATTATTATTATAAACCTCTAGATTTTTCTGTAAGAAAAATAGGCCTAGATGTCACGGTGGCGCAGTGGGTAGCATGATTGCCTCTCAGCAAGAAGGTTGCTGGTTCGAGCCTTGGCTGGGTCAGTTGGCATTTCTGTGTGGAGTTTGCTTGTGCTCCCTGTGTTTGTGTGGGCTTCCTCTGGGTGCTCTGTTCTGTTGCATAAAACATATGCTGCATATGTTGTTGGTTCATTCTGCTGTGGTGAACCCTGATTAATAAAGAGACTAAGATGAAAAGAAAATGAATGAATGAAAATAGGCCTATTTATATAAGGTGTAATTTCAAAAAAGTAATATAAAATATATCTTTTCAATCGATTTACCCACATAACCATTATTGTCTCAGCTCTGTCAGCTCTTGTTCTTGCTTTTTTGGTGGGAAAATGAGGGTTATAGGGTGTGTGTGTGTGTGTGTGTGTGTGTGTGTGTGTGTGTGTTTGTTTGTTTGTTTGTAAATGCAGAAAACAGTATTTTATGAGTAACTGAGGTAAAACTAAGACATCTATTACAAGCTGTGATAATAAATGAACCCCCCCCCCCCCCCCCCCCTTTTTGAATAGCTTTAACGAAAACCAACAAATCCCTGAGAATGTCATTTTGAACTAACTTGAAGTGATTAAAACCGCACAAACAAAACCAAATAAGACAGTCCTCCTACCTGCACACGAGGGCGGAGCTTTGCCATGTCAGCAGAGTTCACAGGCAGAGGGGAGAGAGTAGCAGTGAGTGGAAAGTGCCAGACGCCGGAACATTCCTGAGGAACGTTAAAGAGCAGAATACTCTCACTCCGACACCCTAGCACAGAAGACCTGTAAATTTTTCTCATGCTCACTTACGACCCCCGTCTGTCTCAAAGGAATGCATTGGAGGACATGCATTCTTTAATGTGGAAGTAGTAGGCAAAACAAGAAGGATCTTATGTTTTATGAGGTGAGAAAAATTGTTCTCCGCATGCTTGGTTGCAGTTGTAAATTAACTTGAGGCTTGAAATCAACCGGTTGGAGCGACGTCTGTGATATAAGCCATGTTAACGTGCATCAGAAGGATTATCTTTCAGTCAGGAGGCTTATTTAAGGAAAAATGAAGTGTCAGCTGTACTTCAAATGTTTATCTAAAAAAGAAAAAACACAGCTATGAATTCGAAGTTAATAAAATACAATAGAGAATTTATTGAGAATTTATTGGGAAAATGAGTTCGTAATGAGGTCTTTTGACTGCATATATTGGCAGAATGATTGGTTTGAATCATTGAGATTCTCTCTGAAAATTTTGAGGAAACACGAATTTATAATTTTTTTACAGAAGAAACATACTGCAATAGCCCCTAAAACAAACAAACACACACACACACACACACACACACACACACACACACACACACAGTATTTATTATTTATCACACACACACAAACACACACACACACACAGAGAGAAAGAGAGAGATCACTAATCAAAATGCTTGCTTTTTTATACTTTAGGAGTTAGATTATTCATTTGCTGGCCTCCAATTGATCTCAGCGGTGGTCTGTGTCAGTTATTTAAAACTTTTCAAAGGTGTAAATATTTAACCTTTTAATGAAAATATTTCAAGTAGTTTTGATGAATGTATTTCACTATGTCCTCTGAACCCTCAAACATCTCAGTGAAAAATGGCACTAACCATGATGTGATGGATATCGGATGATAGTATATATCCTTGATTTGATTATGTGTTTGTATATACATTTATCATGATTCTGTGACAGGGCATGACTGTGTGAACATAAACGACATCTCTGAATGTAAAAAGTTCTAAGGTCAATGCAAAGGGAGACCTTGGTTTTTACTGAGTTTGCTTAGCAAACCCTACAATGAACGAATTTTGGGGACTACAAAAAATACTTCCGCCCCATGTGAGATCACAAATGTTCGTTTACTGCGCACACAAACTGCGCAGCTAAGGGCCGTGGCCAGAGGTGCTGTAACGTTATAGCAGAGATGAAGCTAAAAATTCGTCCAAACACTGCTGTTTCCACAGAGCTGCAATTTTTTTTGGGCTTCCAAAGGACATGACACAAAGACAGAAGTGCTTACAGTTCAATATTAATTATGTTCCAGAGAATTATAAAATGCATAGCAAGCATGACTTGACAAAACAGCTTCCAGAATCTCTCCCAGTTCAGTGATGGATTTGGTTAAAATCTCCTCAAAGCAGAAGCTGTGAACTATAACCTGTAAGTGTTTTACTTGTTAAAATTGATAATGACATGTACAGTGTCTAGCATTAACAGTAAGCTGTAGCAACGATGTAAACTATGGGAAATGCTGCTATGCATAGCAAACGATTTAGCTACAAATTCATATTTATCCGTTAAACTGCTGTAAACACACACAAACACACACACTCCACCAGCATGTTCGTGTCTCTTATGTGTGTGCGCCACTTTGCATTGATTGTCTTTAGGCTGCTTTTCAATGCGATTCACATCTCAGATAATGAAGTCGCAAAAAATATGTGGATAATTTATATTACACCTGCATATTCCGAATATTTGTGAAACATGTCGTGTAACGTGTTGAGTTAAAAAAAATACAGGATAGCTCACCTAACTCGTAGTAGCAGCATAAAAATAAATCAAGGCTCACACAGGTAGCATCCCACATCTTGTGCTTTATTCTTCTGTCACGATATATTACAGAAAATAACTTAATCCGAGCATCAGAGAAAAAGATTAAAAAACTCCCGTGTACATGCACTTGTTACAGAAAGTTCACACATTCACACACACGCACATAGACGCACACACAATGGCAAACGCTCTCAAAGGAGCCGCACCCCATTTTCACTCGTTACAGACACATGTCAGATTTTATTTTAGTGAGCAGGCAGGAGGTTGACTGAGGTTTACACAGCAGAAAAGCGCATGCTGTACGGGTGTGACGTGGAGCTGATCCGCAAATCGCAGCACATTATGACGATGACCAATCAGAGTCACTTAAGGGCGGGTCTTTTAGAGGAACTAGGAAATAAATCATCAATATATCATTTTCATGTTTTCATGAGTAGCTTTGTATAATCAAAGTTAGATGAAAATGAGATATATAAAAAAAATAACGTGATTTCCTTCAAGTGAAACATGAGCACACATTGCTTTGCATCTTATAGACACAACCAAGGCTTAAATTTACATTCTATGTATGTCATTATGGTGTGTGTCATATCGTTATCTTATTTTAAACCTAATTGTCAACAAAAACCTTCCCAAGCACTTTTGTTTTCTAAATGTCCATTAAATGTCCATGACACACTAGCAGTACTGTAAAAACTGCATAGTTATTCATCAGGAATTTTTTTTGCCGTTACAGAACCTCATGTGATACCATGTGGTCACATGATATTTTATCCTGACTAATCAAGATAAATCTTGTGACGTGTAGTCAAAGGCAGCAGGTCACGTTTTAAAATGTTCAGCTCAGCTCTTTGTTATGGGGTGGTTTAATTGACAGTTCAGCACTTGACTGATCAGGGTGATGCTGATGTGATCTACTGTGTTTAGCCTCTCAGGTGTCACACTTTTTATTAGAGATCTAGGTGCACTGCGGTCTGGCACTAAAACATTGAAGCTTCATTCATTTAGGTTGATTGGGGTATTTTGTAGGGGAGTGAATTATGCATAAAATATAATAACCAAGTTATAAGCATACATAGATTTAAAAAAAGCAAATGTAAAAATAACACTGATTAATTTGATAAAATTAGTCATTATTAAGGTTGGAGGAGTGGTGCAGTTTTTCATGTCTGAATGCTTTAAACTCTTGAAATGCTCACACAGTCAAAGGCCTTAAACACATCTAATAACTTTCACTCAGATAATAAACTTTCACTTGATTGTTAATCTCTGCAGTAACTACACAAATCTCATGTGTTCTGAACTGTGGCTCGTTGCACCAACATGTGACTACTGCAGATGCACACATTGTGATATTGATGTTGAAACGATATAAAGTGTAGCCTTAATTCTATCTCTGCTTTGAGATTTGCATTGTACAGAAGAGTTAGTGTTAAACGTTACTTGGTTTTGACGGAAGCTGATGATCCGGATTCAACTTATCTTATGTATGTGTGTGGGAGATACTGAATGCATGTTGCATCCCTATAGAAAAGAAATGTCACAATTAAGATGTTCATTTCATCTTATATAATTGCCTTCAGGCTGTGACATTAATGGAATATTTCACTAATCATTAATCACTTGTTCAAAACCTATTTGTTTTTCTTTCTTTTGTTAAACACAAAAGAAGATATTTTGCTGTGACCCATTCATTTCCATAGTGACTTTTTTAATGGGTCCCAGCAACCACCAGCATTATTCAACATATTTTCTTATGTGTTCACAGAAGGAAGAACTTAAATAAATGTTTAAAACCACATGAGGGGTAGTAAATGATTTTCATTTTCAATATTCATTTTTGGATGAACTATCCCTTTAAATGCAGAATGAAGAGTTTTTCTCCTCTCAGAGAGGGCTCTGCTTTGATATTTGCATTGTACAAGAGAGAAAGGGTCAGTCATGGTTCTTTATGGATTTAGAAGATGATTTTTTTTTTTGGTTTTTAGTATAACACTAAGGTGTTATACTAAAACCTTTACTTACTTACTTTCTTACTTACAGGTACTTAAAGTATATAACACAAGTCAGCCCAAACAAACAAAAAAATATGACATTTATGTAATTTTTACATAATTCTCTTGATTCAAAATCCTAATAATAAAAAATGCTTTACTTTTTTAAAGGAGTTATACGATAAATTTGATATGACAAATTTGCGCACCACTTGGGACTCTTATCAAGATCTCTGGTGAAAATCTAGAGGGGGTATGTGAGATTTGTGAAATTATAAAAATGATTTAGCAAGAGTTTCACTTTTGCTGCCGCCTGTCTTTATGATTAATCAAACAACTAGGAGAACATCCCTCACTGCTCTTGACTGCTTACTCGAAGTGGGTAGCATGTTCACCTCACAGCAAGAAGGTCGCTGGTTCAATCCTCGGCTCAGTTGGCGTTTCTGTGTGGAGTTTGCATGATCTCCCTGCGTTTGCGTGGGTTTCCTCCGGGTACTCCAGTTTCCCCCACAGTCCAAAGACATGCGGTACAGGTGAATTGGGTAGGCTAAATTGTCCGTAGTGTATGAGTGTGTGTGTGTGTGTGTGTGTGTGTGTATATGTGGATGTTTCCCAGAGATGGGTTGTGGCTGGAAGGGCATCCGCTGCATAAAAACTTGCTGGAAAAGTTGGTGGTTCATTCAGCTGTGGCGACCCCAGATTAATAAAGGGACTAAGCCGACAAGAAAATTAATGAATGAATGAATGTATTTATTTCTCTTTCCTTTGCAGGGTGGAAAATAACTGTATGTATACAGTTGAAGTCAGAATTATTAGCTCTCCTGAATATTAGCAACCCTTTTCCTGCCCAATTTCTGTTTAATGGAAAGAAGTTTTTTTTTATTATTATTTCTAAACATAATAGTTTTAATATCCCATTTCTAATTACTGATTTCTTTTACCTTTGCTATGATGACAGTACATAATATTTAACTAGATATTTTTCAAAATACAAGCATTCAGATTAAAGTGCAATTCAAAGGCTTAATTAGAGTAATTTGGCAGTTCATTGTATTACAGTAGTTTCTTCTGCAGATAATCAAAAAATATATTGCTTAAGAGGGCTAATAATATTCACCTTAAAATGGGTTTCAGAATATTTAAACCTGCTTTTATTCTAGCTAAAATAAAACAAATAAGCCTAGAAGAAAAAATATTTTTGTTAGGTAAATGTTTGTTTTTGTAAAAATGTTTGTTAGGTATCCACCATCTTTTAGAGGTATACTGCCTTAGAGGAAGTGGGTGCGACATTTACTCGGCAGCTCCTGTCTGGGATAAGCAAGGGATG